CAAAATCCTACCCTTTTTTGCCTCGGTTCATAACTAAGGCAAAAAGCCTATCTCTTTTTGCTTCACCAGTATATGCCTCAGTTGCGAAACCACTGCCTATAGGCGAAAATAACATTTTTCGTTTCTCTTTAATGCATTAATGTTAAAAGCATAAAATTTTTAATGTTTACAAATCAATGATGTTCTTCATGCAAAGGTGATTTCATGATTTAATGAAATATTTTCTTCAACATGAGGTTGTCCTTCTTAAAATGTCAACATATGTGTTGGGTCTATCGAGGAGGATGTTACCTGTGGGTTACACAAACATCAATAACATCTGAGCCAACTATATAAGGGATCGACACCACTCTTTACCCAAAGCCTTAAGGCAATAGGTTAATGGGTCTTTCACCTTTATATACTACTCTACTTTCTCATTTCTATCCAATATGGGACTTAGACTCACACTTGGATTCTCAACATCTTCCCCTCAAGGGTGAGTCCCTTCCACATAGGTACACTCCCCCTTCAATGGAAGCATTCCCAACTAACCACAACCACGAGTACCCTTTCTAACCACGTATCTTAACGGAACTTGCTTACCTAGATACCCTTTGCCAGGAAGACTTTCGGTATAGGGATCATTATACTCGTCCGAGCCGGTCACCAAGACAAACCATCGGCTCTGATACCACTATTAGGTCTATCGAGGAGGAGGTTCTCTATGGGTTACACAAACACCAATAACATATGAGCCAACTATATAAGGAATCAACACCACTCTTTACCCAAAACCTTAAGGCAATAGGTTAATGAGTCTTTCACCTTTATATACTGCTCTACTTTCTCATTTCTATCCAATGTGAGACTTAGACTCACACTTGGATTCCCAACAATATGAGGTTGTTATAGAAGAGACTTAGTAATAGCTTTGTTTAGGCCATGAGGTTAGGAGTGAAATTCATAGCTTTCTTGTACCAATTGTGATTTTCTACCCATTAACTTAATTGATTTCTTGTCCTAACTGTAATTTTTGTGAATATCAAAACACATATTCATCAAGTAAATGAATATCCTAACAAGTAATGATATTTATACATATTCAAAGGTTTAGAAAGGATTTTGTTTTATTTGATGATTTTATTCTCCCCTTCTATTTGTATTTTCGTTTGTGATTCTTATACTTTACATGTGTGGAATTGTCACACTGAGTATAGTAATAGGTGTATATGAAGAACTTTATAGCATTGTGTAAGTGAATAATTTGGTGTAAATGGTGTTATGTTTTAGTGGAAGAATGGATAATGAAAATGTGTTGGCTATTGGCTCCTCTACATACATAAATGTCCCATTGATTATTCTGGTTGCTCGAGAATAAAAAAAGGTTAGGAAGAAGGTGCTAGCTGAAGATTCAAGAATATGATATGGATGGAATTAGTTGTGATAATAATGAATGTTGATGAATGATGAGTCTAATTAAAAAGTTGAAAATCAAAAATGGAAAGAAAGGAATTTGTTACATAAGTTTGGATTGAATTGGGTTAAAATTATTTTAAATTTTAAACTCTATTAATTAAAAAATCGGCTTACTCGAGTTAAACATGTGGTGAGTCGGATTGGTGAGTCAGGTTGATAAATCAATATGCCTAATTTTTCTTTAAGTTATGAAACCTAAATGCTCTCATAGATTGGTGACTCTCTGAAAGACAATAAACCTTCAAACAAATTCCACGAAACGTACAATACACATTTTATTCAAACTAAGTTTCAAATTTGATTCAAATTCATACTATTTCATTCCTTTTCTCTCTTTCGATCATCTCCAGGTTACTTGTTGCTTCTTGAAAAATAGAATTAATTTCTAGAATCAAAGTTTCATGGTCAAAAGTCTCTATATATCTTATAGGTTGCAATTTTATGAAAATTTTCCTGTTTGACTTGGACGGGGTAATTTTAACTCAAAAGGTCGCAGTTTTATAGAATTTTTGTTGTTTGACTTGGACAGGGTAATTTTAGCTCAAATGGATGTTTATATCTTTCAGCTTCTATCAAAGTAATGATCTTTTTATTTAACTTCACGGTCGTTGACTATGAGCTGATTTTGAGCCGATTAAAAATAGCAACGTAGAAGAAACCTTGAATGTGTATTTACCTATTCTTGTATTGTAAAGTATTCTTTGTTGTAAAGGAAAGTTTTCATTAATTTCTCTTATTATTTTTAAGTGCTACAGCAATTTTAGGGCTTACCGTGATAATAAACCGTTGAAGGATTTGTTGCTTTTTCAATCAATTCCAATCTAAATTTTAAAGAGTTGTTTTATTTTCTTCTATATTTATATTTATATTGTAATATGATTTTGTTTAGATTTAATCACCTAACAAGAAATTATGACTTCTTGAACTGTACAGAAAAAGTTATAGTCTTTAGTTTAATCCAAGCTATACTATAGAGTGGGTATCTAAAGTATATAAGAGCTTTCGAGGTGGGTTTTTTCTGGACCGAAATAAAAAAAAAAAGCCTACTTTTATTTCCTCCATATTAATGGTTTGCATGCGAAGGTTTGATTACATGTCTGAACAGCATTCCATGCTTGAACAACAGTTCATGTACTAATTGTGTTATGCACTAAAGTGTACTTCAAGTTCAAGTTCAAACAAGTCAAATACTTCAAGTTTAAATAAATCAAATATTTCAAAATCTCATCATATAATGGAGAATTTTAAATTTAAGTTTTTAAATATACAAAGTAATAATAGAAACTATTCCCCCATGTGTTTTGTTTTTTTCTAATTAAACAGTAATATTTTCTTGAAAATATTTTATCTTGACTTCTATTTTAAAAATTATTTAAATTCTTATTTATATGAACGAAATTCGGTGATAACAACTACAAGCCCAAATGAAAAACCTGCAGGAATTTGTTTTATTTTACTTCGAACTTAAGATATAGGTTTGAGTAAATTATCTCAAACTACACATATTTACATTTTTCAATTCTACAATAATATTTTTAGAACTTAAAGGAGTTTTTAGAATAAAAGAATTTAAGAAAATATATAAAAAAAATGAAAATCTCTGCATAATTTGATAAACTAAGAGGGGTTGTTTAAAGGAGTGAGGAGTTGAACTTTTAGTATTATAGTGACTACTTTCGAACTAAAAAAGATTGAAGTAGATGGTTTCTCCTCTCATCTGCAATAAAATTTAAGTGAATAGTAAAAAAAAAGGGTGGAAATGGTAGTGGCAAAGGAAGTGATAAGAAACACAAGATATGGAATCATATATCTCCCTATTATTGATTCAGAAATGGGGGACAGTGAATGTGTGTAGTGGACACCCAGAAGTAATAAGAAACACAAGAAAATGATGGATGCTAAAGGCATCTTCTTCACTGCTGAAAGGATCAGCTACCTTGCTGACAAGACAAACCCCAAAATGAAATCAGAATGCTATAATATTACCAAGGCCATGCAGATTCCAGTCCCCACCAATAATGTTAAAAACATTACACTGTCCATAAATAGCACCAGAGTAGTTTCTGACAATATACTACAAACAAAATTAGACATCAGAAACCTATCATGCAAAACAGAAATGCCACAGCCAAAATGTTTCAATACTAAATTTTCTTATAAAACATCAAAGCCAACACTCAAATACTATTATGATACTAACAAATTTTCATGACATACCTAAACTAGAATCACATTTATAAAAACTAATTTCCATTACAAGAACAAGGAGAGCAAACCCCTGGCCTAAAACATCTATGTCCCTCCTGGTGTTCGGGGTTTAAACCAAATTGATCAATCAGAAATTATGTTTTGATAAACTGTCTACTAGTAGTTAACATAGAAAGAACTCACGGAACGACCAAGAATGATGACAATGCAATTAACTTCACTAAAATGGGACAGACTTCAACAATTGTGTATGCCATCATATTGAAAAGATGGAATTTTTTATCTGACTATATCCGAAGGATTTCCAGACGATTTTATCGAGTGTAACAGTGTAGAGGCAATGAAGCATCCTATGTATAGAATCTTGAATTACATAAAAATGTGTCAGAAGATAATTGTTTTGAAACACACATATTGTGAAGGGGGTTTCTGCAAACATAACATGGCTAATTTTGAGATTCAAACATCAGATTAGTTTTAAGTATCAGAAAATCCTCATTCCCTTGCAACTTACAAGGAGGATCAGAATTCCCTCTCTCCCCCCCCCCCCCCCCCCCCCCCCCCCTCTTCTAGATGTTTGCTTCTCTGTAAGATATGAAATGGAGACTACTTTGCCTAGAGGAGCTAGTTCTCCTGGTTAATTTTGCTTTCTGATGTCTGGCACTCATAGCCTCCAATGGACCCAAAAGAAAAAAACTAAAATCACTATCTGAATGAATCATAACTATATTTTAGATGTAAGAGATATCATAACAATACTGAATTAGGGGTAAGCCAAGAACAAAGCCCAGAAAACAGCTACACATTGAGATATCAGATATTTTTAGCATATAAAAAAGATAAACATTTGGTAGGCCTCTAAGTCATGTACAACAGAAGAAAAAGAGCTTAAGATGGAAAATGTTTGACCAAGGAAATAATTTATACATAGTTATGAGAAGAGAGATGGGAACGCATGAAGGAGCAAGAAGGAAACAGTGATGAGAAGTGTGATAATGAGGAATCAGAGTTACATATGTGCGACAGGAAGCTAGGGGTTCAAAATACTTTTGTGGGTAAGGCTGCAGAATCCACCTTCCCTAAAAGACCTCACTTGGTGGGAGACCCGGGCACCAAGTCTCCCAGTTTTCTCTTTTTGCTACAGTATCAGTTTTTCTGTTTCTTGAGCTACATGTCTCCCGTGGAGGAGACTTCCTGCTTCAATTCTATCTGCTTTCAGTATTATCAGTTCCCATCAACGTCATCGATTTATTAAAAATAGATAATGTTTAAAGTAAAAGCACGTACAAGAGTAAACACCATTAAACACCATTGATGCAAGAAGAAGAAAAAAATGCAGAACAACCAGGAAATCAAATTACAAATGAGCCAAAGGTGTCCATCAAACCAGCATAAAATACTCATACTGTAGCTAACAAGTGAATGCTCACCAATCAACCAACAAGGAATGCGGGGTTTCCCCAAACATGTGCTAGCTATCATGTCATGAAGCAGTATCATGGCATGGATCAGTATAGACACTAAAAGGACACTTCAAAAGCCAGACAGCAAAAATATATGAATTTGCTGAGGAAAGGTGAGACATCCAACTTCATATTTCAACCAGTGTAGTGCATCCCTAGATTTTATCAAGCTTATCAGCCTTAATTGCAGGGTTGGCTTTAGCTATAGCCTCACGACCAACAGTCTGATAATCAAAGGGGCAATCGTGTTTGTCAGAATAGCGGTGCATTGCACAAAAGAGATTCCCACATTTGCAGCTGAAACCGGTTAATCCAACACGCTTCCGGCAAGTTGCGCATCTGCTGGGACCTGTCTTAGCTTTCATCTCCAAATTCTGACCAGAGGATGAATCTCCAGAAATATCAGCAGAGACTGTCTTCATCTCCACATTTCCAACTTGAACATCCACAGAACCTGCAGTTACCGCCTGCTTCCCGCTGCAGCCAGAACCGCCATTCACAATGTTCTCAACCGACGCTGCTGCAAGTTTGTCTTGTTCCTGCTTCAAGAGCATGTCTTTGTAACATTTGGAGCACATATTCATGGTGGAAGCCCTTCCAAAGAAGCCACAATTGTTAATGCAAAGAATTGGCCTTTCTGGAGCCTGGCATCCTGTTTCATCGTGAGACTCCATTGTTTTATGACAACCTGCAAACATACCGACTCAGCCTCTCTGGAAACTATGTACACAGAAAAACCTATTTATTCACAAAAGATACACAAATTCGAACCTGAACAACGAAATCTAATATAGAACATCAATAGAGATGAAAGATACCGAATAAACACAAAGATTACAACAAGGACAATATGCAATACCAAAATCGTAACAACACATATATCACCATGTCAGTAATTCATGTCAATCACAACTATGAAGAAACGGGACCAACAGTATTGTTCTTATTCGGTCACAACTCCCGACTTTCTCCAAATTCGGTGTGCCCTTGGAACAAAGCACAACCATCACTCTACCCCTTTTGTTTTCAAAACCGTTATTATTTCGAATCAACTAAAAACAAGAAAGAAAACAACAAGAACCCACGAAATCTACATGAACACTGAACCCTGAGTTCCAAATCCCAACCAACACATCAACTAAAACCACTTCACTACCAAGTCAATCATGCAAAAAAAAACCCAACAACCCAACAAGCAAACTCACGCCAATAATTCCAGAAACGAAACAACCCCACAAGCCACTGTCAGAAAAATTCAAACTTTAAACGCCCATCATCCACAATCAACCACCCCACCAAGAAAAAAAACACACCCAGAAAGTAATCCACACCGGAAAAGCGATGAAGAAAAACAAAAAAGCACTAATAAAACTTCTGACCTGCGTGCCTCGTTTCACGGGTGCTGACAGCGTGATCAGGCAACCGCTAAGGGGAGAGAAATTAGAGAAAAATCAGAAGAAAGGGAGACGAAGTGAGAGAAAATAAGAAGAGAAATAATTGCGACCTTTATAGATGACGAAAGAAGAGTGAAGAAAATTGATGATATTTTAAAATTTTAATTAATTTAAAATTAATTAAATAATGAGAATGAAAGAAGAGAAGTAACAGGAAAGTACAATGTTAAACGCCGCTAAAGAAAGAGTGAAGAGAAGAAAGTATGGGTTAGGTTGGGTCGAATGTCGTGTCAAATAGAAAACGTTGCTGTTTGTTTCTATAAACCCTTTTATCAGCTAACTTCTCCTTTTCTTTTCCTAAGTCGGTGATACTAACAAAACCACTCTTTATTTCTTCTTAAATTACATTTTTACCATTCACTTGCTTAACCATACATCCTTAATCATTCATTATTCATTCAAATCAATTATATATATAACTAATTATTAGATATTTTTCTGTTGTAAGATGAAAAATTTTCGAATTATTTACAATGTTGATGACGAAAACTTTCAATCAACCTTGAATAAAATTACTTTGTTTGTTAATGTCACTGAATAAAGTTTTTCATCCTACATTGGTTTAAAAGTAAGTCAAAAAATTATATTAACCAATATTATTAGAAGGTAACCCGGCAACAAAAATAATTATTACTTTTATCAATTAAACGTAAACTTAATTAATATTAATAAATAAAAATTCTTACTAAAAAATATTGCCAAAATTTGATGAAGGAAATTGAGATGCATTAAAGAGATGAGCTTTATTGAATTGGTAAAAGTTAAGGCAATGAGATTTTGAAATCCAATTAAATACATATTCCAAACTCAACCAATTTCATTGAAGATCGATTAAGCAACAAACCTATCCGATGATTGTGTTAACAAGGAGATCTTAATTTAAGACTCAAATTTTATACAAAACTTAACATGATGATAGTTGTAAAATTAAAATTAGAAAAATTATGTTTCAGTATTAACATTGACGTTTTTTTATATATAACTTTTGAATTTTATTGACTTAGGTGGATTAAAAAAAAAGAATATTATAAATTAAACCATTTTACCGTTAGAACTTCAAAATAAAGTATTAAAATAGATAGGTATTTTAAAATAAGGCTTAATAGTATCTTTTGTCCCAGTTTTGTTCGATTGTGTTAATTTGGTCACTGGTTTTAAAAACGTGTCAACTTGATCCTAACTTAGTAAATTTTGTGTCAACGTCGTCCCTTCCGTTAAATACGCACAACGGCGTTAACTTTTTTTTTTCTCCCTCCTCTGCTCCTCTACAATGCAGCAGACATTTTTCTTCTTTTTGTCAGTGCTATCTTTTCTTCTTCCTTTTGTAATACCAGAAAAAAGTGTGAGAGAGAAAATTGGATAGTTGGCATAAATAAGTTTTATTTCATTCATCAGAAAATTGGATCGTTGTCAGTGTCGTTCGGTTAAAGGCATTTTGCCGTCAGTGCACATATTTCTCTGTTCCATGAGCATTGCCATTGGGTGTTATAGACTTCTACCGTTTGGTACAAAAGTTGTTTTTCGCATTCGGTGTATTAGACTTCTGTCATTCGGTGCAGAAGTTGCTTGTCATTGTTCCATCACCAAATTCTCCACCCAGAAGATATCAACTCATGCTTCTCATGATGGCGGTGATGACAATGAAGATCTGTTTTGCAGGTTTGAGTGGAACAGATGATGGTGTAGTGGCTGCTGGTGCGGTTCTGTATAGAGGTTCTTCACCGAACGACTAAATTCTAATAAACTGAATGCGAAAAACACCTTCTGCACCGAACGGCAGAAGACTAATACACCGAATGATAATGCTAATGGAACAGAGAAATATGTGCACTGAATGGCTAAAGTCTAATACACCGAATGCGAAAAACAACTTATGAACCGAACGACAGAAGACTAATAAACTGAATGGAAACAGAGAAATATGTGCACCGAACGGCAAAATGCCTTTAATCGAACGACACTGACAACGATCCAATTTACTGATGAATGAAATAAAACTTATTTATGCCAACGATCCAATTTTCTCTCTCACACTTTTTTTTCTGGTATTACAAAAGGAAGAAGAAAAGATAGCACTGACAAAAAGAAGAAAAAGGTATGTTGCATTGTAGAGGAGCAGAGGGGGGAGAAAAAAAAGTTAACGTCGTTGTGCGTATTTAACAGAAGGGACGACGTTGACACAAAATTTACTAAGTCAGGATCAAGTTGACACTTTTTTAAAACTAATGACCAAATTGACACAATCAAGCAAAACTGAGGACAAAAGAGGCTATTAAGCCTTAAAATAATGAGACATAGTATTTTAATGTTAAAATAATTCAATAATATAAAGAGAATTTCAAACATGTCTCATTATTTAAAACACTCACAATCTCACTAAAACTCGTTCTCTGAGTTCTCTTTCCTTTCTTTCTAAGATTTTTGACTCCTAACTCATTTGTTTGACGATTAGAAGATATATAGAAGATCACAACAATGAGTTCTTCATTCTCCACCGATTGATTTTTCTTTAATTCTTAGTTTAAGACACATGCAACTAGAATTTATCGTATGTGTCGTCTACTCTATTTTTCTATTTCTTTGTCGATCAGTGGTCCTAAGGACTTACTTTGATCGTGGTTCTGTAGTTTGTAGGAATTTTTAGAGTTTAGTGAGCTGAGGCAAGGGTTGTACACTATGTAGAACTGTGATATTTTTCTCGATCAGGTAAGGGAAGCTAATGATCTTCCTTTGATTTTATTTTTATTTGGTACGAATGATTGGTGGTTGTTAACATGTTATGTTGACTTAGTTGAAATTGGAATATCTGTTTTAGTGTTAATTGTGATTTGAATGAGTGTAATTAGCTATTTGATGCTTAATGCCTTGGATGATGTTATTTTAGACTTGATCATGTGAGTGTTGTTGTTGTGAAGTTTAAAAGTATACAATTGAGGTGTTGTTGAGAAGTGGAAATTAGGCGAAGTTAATTTTTTGGTCTAAAAATAAGGTGTTGATAAGTGAGATTTTGAAGTAAAGGTTGAATGGGTGGAATTGAGTTTTTGGGTCTATGTTATTGTCATTTAAAACTTGTTTAAGCTTTGAGATAGGAGAAATCTAATGTAGAATTGGGCAGTAGTTAATAGGGTGTGTTTTTATATGGTTTTTTATTCATTTTAGTGGTTTTGACTAGTGAAATTTTAATGTAGTAGGTTTGTGCTGAAGTAGAGATTTAAGGTCAAATGATGAGTCTTTTCTAACTCGTTTAGACCCCTAGGTTGTTAATTTATGTATTAGAAAGTGTAGAAGTGAGTTTAGGTAATTTAGAGCAGTCAAGTTGGTTTAATGTATCTAATTTGAGTTATAAACTTGTTTTTAAATCACTCATAGTGTATAGGATGCCATGTCAATCATTTATATAAGTATATGTTGGAATCCAAGTGTGAGTCTAAGTCTCACATTGGATAAAAATGAGAAAGTAGAGCACTATATAAAGATGAAAGACTCATTAACTCACATTGCCTTAAGGTTTTGGGTAGAGAGTGGTGCCAATCCCTTATATGGTTGAGCTTAGATCTTATTGGTATTTGTGTCTCCCCGATGAACCTCCTCCTTGTTAGACCCAACAGTATAGGGAGCAACCAAGGTCAAATTAGAGGTCTCTACTCTTTTAAGTGGTTGTTTCAAGTTGTGTATGAATGTAAGAAGCTCAGTCTTGGAGGTTATCGTCATAACTCGACATTCATACTATATTCAGATGGTCAAGTCTAGGTTCATGGTATACTTAGGATTTTTGTTTAACTTGGTGTGAAAGGTGATATATGAAGAAATGTAATATCTTAAGTTTGTCTTTTTTTAACATTAATTTACCCTTTTGTGTGTTTCTTTGTTTGTGTATGAATGATTTCTTTTGCTATGATTGGTGTGAGCAGAGAATGATGATATCTTGGTTGAGTAGCCTCTGAAAGGTGAGGGATCATAGGTATAACTGGATTAAAGTAAATGATTTTGTATAGATGTATTTTGAGAAATTTTATGTAAATGTTTAGGTTCCTTCTCTTTTGGTGTTGCAAATATAGAATAGATTTATAATTATAGTGGATAACTGCAATATTATTTAAACGAGATGTTATATTTACTATTAAATACAATTTTTATTTTATGAAAACTAAATTTTCATAATACTTTTTCTAATTTTGCGTTTGTTGTTGGAATTCTGTTTTTTATAAACAAATTCTTAACAACATTTTCTTTTAGTTTTATATATTTGTATTTTTATTTATAATACATTATTTTATTAAAAATTTATAATTATTTTATAAGTTCGTGTGAATATAAATTTAAAAAATAAATTTTTAATTTAATATTTATAAATTAATTAGAAATAAGAAATTGAAGAGTGATTATAATAAATAAGATACTTTAAATATATAGGAACTATGATAATAAAAAACTATCATAATAAAATATTGTAATTATGGTTTTTTTAAAATTAATTTTGATAAATGTGTATTTATTTGGTTAAATAATTTATGTATTTTGTCTGTGTAATAAGGTAGAAAAACAAAATCAAATAATAATATGATTGTAGGTGGAAATATTTGAAAAGAATTTTAATGAAAAGTTAGGTTTATTTCTAAATATATATATATATATATATATATATATATATATATATA